AGACAGACAGACAGACAGACAGACAGACAGACAGACAGACAGACAGACAGACAGACAGACAGACAGACAGACAGACAGACAGACAGACAGACAGACAGACAGACAGACAGACAGACAGACAGACAGACAGACAGACAGACAGACAGACAGACAGACAGACAGACAGACAGACAGACAGACAGACAGACAGACAGACAGACAGACAGACAGACAGACAGACAGACAGACAGACAGACAGACAGACAGACAGACAGACAGACAGACAGACAGACAGACAGACAGACAGACAGACAGACAGACAGACAGACAGACAGACAGACAGACAGACAGACAGACAGACAGACAGACAGACAGACAGACAGACAGACAGACAGACAGACAGACAGACAGACAGACAGACAGACAGACAGACAGACAGACAGACAGACAGACAGACAGACAGACAGACAGACAGACAGACAGACAGACAGACAGACAGACAGACAGACAGACAGACAGACAGACAGACAGACAGACAGACAGACAGACAGACAGACAGACAGACAGACAGACAGACAGACAGACAGACAGACAGACAGACAGACAGACAGACAGACAGACAGACAGACAGACAGACAGACAGACAGACAGACAGACAGACAGACAGACAGACAGACAGACAGACAGACAGACAGACAGACAGACAGACAGACAGACAGACAGACAGACAGACAGACAGACAGACAGACAGACAGACAGACAGACAGACAGACAGACAGACAGACAGACAGACAGACAGACAGACAGACAGACAGACAGACAGACAGACAGACAGACAGACAGACAGACAGACAGACAGACAGACAGACAGACAGACAGACAGACAGACAGACAGACAGACAGACAGACAGACAGACAGACAGACAGACAGACAGACAGACAGACAGACAGACAGACAGACAGACAGACAGACAGACAGACAGACAGACAGACAGACAGACAGACAGACAGACAGACAGACAGACAGACAGACAGACAGACAGACAGACAGACAGACAGACAGACAGACAGACAGACAGACAGACAGACAGACAGACAGACAGACAGACAAGTCATGGACAGGTATCCCATTAAACAAGTGGTGGCAAGCTCATACGAAGGTTTCGTGATCGCCAAAATCAATGGAATCTATGTATGTAGTTGCTACGCACCCCCGAGATGGACAATTGAGCAGTTCCACCAGATGCTAGATGGGCTCACCGAAGAGCTCATTGGACGGAGACCAGTCGTCATCGCAGGAGACTTCAATGCTTGGGCAGTGGATTGGGGGAGCAGATGTACCAACGCAAGAGGGTATAGCCTGCTGGAAGCTCTGGCAAAGTTGAACGTCAGTCTGGCCAACGAAGGAACCATCAGCACCTTCCGCAAAGATGGTAGGGAATCCATTATCGACGTCACTTTCTGCAGTACGTCGCTAATGGCAAATATGAACTGGACAGTGTGCGAGGAGTACACCCATAGTGACCATCAGGCGATCCGGTACAGTATCGGCGAACGGACACCGGTGGAAATGTGGAGGACGAAAGTAAGCAAGCGGAAGTGGAAGACGAAGGCATTCAATAAGGATCTCTTCATCCAAGCTCTAATGGTAGACAACAGCGTCCCGGGCCTAAGCGCGAGCGAGTTGACCGAATCATTAGCAAGTGCATGTGACACAACTATGCCGAGAAAACTGGAGCCAACGAACAGGCGGCGTCCAGCCTACTGGTGGAACGAGGAAATTAGCACCCTCCGTGCTACTTGTCTTCTAGCCAGAAGGCGTGCTCAGAGAGCAAGAACAGAAGCAGACAGAGAGGAGCGCAGGGTGGTGTTCCGAGAGGCCAGGGCTGCACTGAAACGAAATATAAAGCTGAGCAAGTCAAATAGTTTCAAGGAGTTGTGCCGCGATGCCGATGCCAACCCCTGGGGCAACGGATACCGAGTTGCGATGGCGAAGATCAGAGGCCCAACGATGCCGGTTGAAATGTGTCACAACAAGCTGAAAGTCATCGTGGAGGGACTTTTCCCACAGCATGACCCAACGAACTGGCCACCTACACCATATGGCGAGGTAGATGAAGACAACGTTGAACAAGTCTCCAACGAGGACCTCATAGCAGCAGCGAAAGGGTTGAAAGCGAATAAAGCTCCCGGCCCGGATGGAATTCCCAACGTGGCGTTGAAGGCGGCGATCCAGACGTTCCCGGACATGTTCAGGATGGTGCTGCAGAAATGTCTGGACAAGGGTCAGTTCCCTGATAGGTGGAAGGTACAAAAGCTTGTGCTGTTGCCGAAGCCCGGAAAACCGGGGGATCCTGCATCGTATAGGCCAATATGCTTGCTGGATACTGTAGGAAAGCTCTTGGAGAGGATCATCCTCAACAGGCTGACGAAATGCACGGAGAGTGAACACGGATTGTCGGAGAGACAGTTTGGATTCCGGAAAGGGAGATCGACAGACAGACAGACAGACAGACAGAATCCCGAAATGTAAACGTTGTAACAAGTGTAAGCGTTGCGTACAAGATTGGTAAGATTAATCGCGTGTAGTTTTCGTATATTTTGTTTTTTTTTAATCCAAGAAAAGGTTTAAATGTTTGTAAAAGGTAAAACGTCCCAGAATCCCCACGAACGCAGCCAGTAGGAGACATTTCCATATAAATTGTAGGACAATGCCACTAGCCACCGCCAGAGCACGCTGTGTGAAGTCATGAATGGACGGCCATAGGGGTGGCGTAATGGGGGCCATTGCGTGAAGAATTCATGGCACGTGCGACGGTTCAACGGTCACGGTTCGGGGTCATGGTCCACCAAGAGGCACAGTCATAAGCCTGGTGATCATTATAGACTACGGTCACATAACGAAAGTCAAAGCTAAAAATTAATAGTTTGAAGGTGAAAACTAAAGCTAAAGTGCTAAAGTGAGCTAAGTTGGAAGCAAGGTAATTACCATCACCAAAAAAACCCCGAACCAGATCCAACCGTTGTCTAGTGAGATCAGGTCGATAACCGCCATTTCGAATTCTCCTTCGCGTTCACAGGACCTCGCGGTTTTACCGTAACATTTGCGTACTCAACGTATTTTTCCGGAGTCGACCACGCCAATCGCCGGTAGTTTGTCCGAATCGCAGCTCGAGAATCTGATCCGTCAGCTACATTGTGCGCCACCAATCCAGGCAAGTCAACTTACCCTTGTGGTTCGTTGAAACCTCGAGTCCGTCACCATACTCGAGGGGCGTACGGGACAGGTAGAGGCGTCCACCCCTGGCCCAAGAAGGTGATGCGGTACCAGAGGAAGGAGAGGAACGAAGACGACGGCAGTGGCAGGTGAAGGGGCTCCGAAGACAAAAGAAGAGTAGTGCTAGCCAGGGCGTCACAATATCAGCTTCAATCGACCAAATCGATGCGACGAAGAGACTGCTGGCTTTCTTTTTCTGTTAAAGTCGAACAGCTTCGCAGCATTCTAGAACCTCAGTCGGCGTGCACAAACAAATGTTCAATCGCTTGTCTCTCTTTCTCCCGTCGCTCCATTGGTCTTCCTTTCAAGCTTCGGTGAAACGGATGAGTGAAAGAGCGCTCGACTTTGATAGTTTTCTCTTTCATGAAACACATCAACAGAGGTTTCATGACGTATATGACGGAAAATGAAATTACATATTTAAAGCATTTCTCACGTGAAAACACTTGAAGATTACAGGTAATATGTTTAATTTATCTTCCATCCACATATTTATCTAAAAAAAAATAACGAAAACGGGACATAACACATTTTAAACAAATTGAAAGAGCGGTGATAGAGTGTTCGTGAAAGGGGATTGAAAGCCATAATGAGGTTTCGTTTAACTAGAAAATCGACGTTACTTATAGCTAATTCATTTATTATTCAGTTCCAACCTGGATCGGGTATCAAGATTGGGCCTGCTTGTTTTCTGACAAACGTTTGTTTATAAAAACCCAGCTCAGGTTGAGGTTCGCACTGACAGAAAGTTCGGTTTCAACCCCGATAATTCCGCGAACCAAGAAAACACTCAAAGTTCACTTAAGACAAACTCCCACTTTATTCGCTTTGATGACACTCACTTCACGGACGGTCTCCCACTTCCTTAGATGTCTACTCCTACCTTGTGCTAGCACCAGCGCTCTACATTTTCGAAGCTCTAAAACACCGCACTGGCACGTCACAAGTTAATTTTTAGGCTTATAAATAACAATATAAATATGTTAATTCAATTAGTCAGCACCTTGTAGTCCCATAAAAAAATACATAAGATATGAAGTGGTCTACCATTATTTTTTTTCCTAAATAAAACTAGAAGGCAGTGGTTGGAGAAGACTGTTATTCGAAGCCTTAAAAAGTTTATAATTTATATAACTGTTAAGCTTTTGGCTGATTAAAATCACCAGATTTAGATCTTTTAAAGCTGGCCAAGGTTCACGTGGTCTATGTACAACAATTATTCAAATTAAGGCTGAATTAAAATCGATTGAACAACACTTGTTAAGCATCAAATTGTTACCTGGGTACTTAAATAATTTGTTAGTCTGTTTTTCCCAGAAAAAAAAACATTATTTTTCGCTACAACTTTGTTTCAGACGTCCGTTAGATCAGGAATGGCGTTTCCGTGATACAACTTTTTTTAAAATTTCAATAATGTTATTTTGAAAATGTGAATCATTACCCATAACAAACAATTAGGCAAAGTGTCATGCAAATCGGACATGGTCGAGTTTTTCCGATTCGTCATTTGGCGTGGAACTGCAAATTCTTACTACAAAGAGAGATTTTGTTCTAAATAACTTTTTGAACATTGCATCTTAGGATCATTGTTGTACCGTATGTCCAGTTTCTAGAAATATAGCTTATTGATGTAAACTTAAAGGATGCTCATCTTGCCCCGTCTACCCCCACACAGATTGAGAAAACTCTGACCCCTCACCTCTGTCATCCTTCAGCCCCCCCAAAACAGAAGCCCTGGTCTTACCTGTAAATCATCCTGGCACCGGTCCAGTAAAGCCAATTCCGTTCGAACCGTTCGCCGTCGTCACCTTCGTAGACCTGCGGGGACGAAACGATGGCGATAATGGGAAAAGTGATTAGTGAGTTGTTTGTCTTCGGGTGATTTAATTTTCGCTGAATCCGAAAACGGTCGGTGGTTAGGAGGATTATAAGTCACAAACTGAAATGTGCGGTCGTTTGCTAATTTCATTGTGGTACGTGACCGGATTGCGGCGGCGGCGACGGAGGAATAATTGACTTGGTGGTTGGCTGAATCGATCGATTTGAGCTTGGAATGTTTGAACGGCTCTTGATGATCAAATTTTAGTTGTGCATCTGGTAACCAGGGGCTTCAGGTCAGTAAAAGCACGGTATTACCAAGCCGGAGGCGGCGGGTTCGATTTCCAGCCTGGGTGAGGAAATCTGTTGGGGTAGAAATTTTCTCGGCATTGGTTAGCGGAGGAAAGCTTTCAATTAATAACTGTGTAAGTGCATCGAAAACACTAAGTTGAGAGCCGAGCGTAAAAAAAAACCTAGAAGAAGAGATGAAGCAACTGGCAACCAAATTCAATTACGAGAATTTGATCTTAACTTTTCAAGCATCTATCTAGCAAAAGTAGCATCTCATCCAAATTCACCGACGACGACTCGTTCAATGCTCATCTTTGTGCAAATGCAACTTTTCACCGCACAGCTCATTTAACTTTCAAATCGAGCCCTTCAAATGCAAAGCATATCCTATCGCCTCTCGCTTTACTTCTAGGTTTTCAGTTTTCTGTGGAAATTCTAGCCAGTTGGTCGTCGGTTAACCGGAAAAGTGATCAATTCCGTCCGCATCCAGGGTGTGTGCTTGCGAGCGGGGGATTTGGGAATTGCGTTTGCCATGGGAGTTTGTGTTTGTGTTTGTCTGAGTGTGTGTTTGTGCTGTGGTGGGGGATTCCTCCTGCATGGATCGACTTTGGCAAGCACACAAACCGGGAACGGAAAAGGCGCTATAAATTTGCGGATGAAAACAGAATTTGTTTTTCTTTGGCAAACATTGGAACCGGTCCGACGCCACGCGCTTTGCAAAGGGAGGAAGATGGGAAGATTTTGACGCTGAATGTGTCGGATGGGTTGTTGGGATATCCCAAGGCAGTGACTGTTCGGGGTTTTTTTTTTTTTTTGGAAATCGTTGAGGTCTTGGAATGTGTGTTTGTGGACAAACTTTGGGTGGGTGGTAAGTTTAGAAAACCAATTTGCAGAAGCGTAAGCAGCAGTAAGAAATTCCGTAGCAAGTGGCCATGCATTGCTATGCGTGTCGCGGAATTATTGACCTGGTTGGTTGGTTGCTGCTCTGTCTTATAAGAAAATTTATGTCAAAACCTGCTATTCATAAATTCATAAATAAATATGTGAACTTCCTTTATATTCCCTAAATTTCTTTGAATTAATTTGAATGAGGAAACCTGAACCTTTTCTGAAGTTCGATGAACTTCATTTAAGTAGCCTGTACTTCTCTGATGAGCTTTGATTTTGTCTGAAGATGATTCGACTTTTTCTGATATTCGCTGAATTCCTGCAAGCTGCTCTGTACTTAATTGAGGCTCGTTAAACTTACCATATATTGTTTGTTTGTTACCGTTGTTCATTAAATGTTTAAGTTTAAAAATAACTTAATTTTAGTAAGTCTAAGATATCAAAATATTCTATGTATTAAAGTATCGTATTACATGCACAAGTTCAAGATATTGAAAATCTTCAAAGCTCCAGAACTAAGGTAAAAAATGGTTTATTTCAAGGTAGTAATTAACATTGCGAAAGATTAGAGATCTTCAGTGATGTTTACCGGTGTCAAGAGAATTTAAGGAATATAAAGAATTTGAGGAACATCTAGATCTAGAGATTTTTGGGGAATTTCAGAGATCTTACGGACAGTTCCCGTTACTTTAGTCCATACTTTTAGAGCGTGAGTTTAGAATACAATCAGGATAGCTTCACGATATGCTGAAAAATATTAGAACTCTTAAGATGTACTGTGATTTTCAGGGAAATGGAGAAATCTTCAGAAAAGTTATGAAAACTTCAGAAATATTGAAGGAACTTCACATAAATCCAAAGAATTTCACGAAACTTTAAAAGTGTTTAAAGGTGTTTACAAGAATTCTTTACAAATTACAAATATAATCGATAGCTTACTTTCAGATCAGAGAATTAAACGGCAGTTCAAATAGTGCCAAGAAAATTACAGAAACATTAAAGAAATTTCAAGACATTCAGGGAATTTCCGGAAACTTCAGCAAAGCTCCGAGAGAATTTCTGTAACGCAATGAAAATTATACGAAAATTCGGGAATTGTGAAAGTATTTAAAGGGTGTTATATCATGGAAATTTCAAGATCTTAAAAAAATTTATGTATTTGACATGATTCTTGATCGACCTTATATTTTGAAAAACATTCCTACTGGCTGAAGATCATCAGATAAAATCCTAATCAACTAAATACGATGAGAGAATATATGGAGAACTCGATTTAAATTTCTTATCAGTCGAAGGTCTTCGATATAATTTCTGATAATTCGGAAAAATTCCTGATCAACATGATATGACGAGAGAATATTCAAAGGTTAAAATTTCAATTACTGATCATTTGAAGGTCTTCGATATGATTCCTGGTGAACCTTATATTTAAAAAAAATATATTCTAACTGACCGAAGATATTCAGAAGAATCCCTGATCAATTTGATATGATAAGGAAATATATGGAGAACTCGATAGTCAATTTCCGATCAGTCGAAAGTCTTCGGTATAATTTCTGATAATTTTAGAGACAATGCCATCGAACTAGCGAACACTATGTCCGTGACGAATTTACAGCGAGTATGTTTGGCTCATGGTTTGGAAATTCAAAAATTATGCTACATTTTTTTTAAATCATATGTTTATGCAACCCATCATGTTGTGCATAGTCTGAGAAATGTTTTAGTATAATGGTACTATGGTATACTTTCTTGGTAAATTCCCGAAAAAACATAGTTGCAATATTGCTTTTTTTTGCGAGCACATACACAGTGACGGGAGGAATAGCCAGCAGTATCAAACAGCCCACATGCAGGGGCTGTGTCATTTCGCCGGATGGGTCATTTCGCCGAATTTTAATCATGAATCAATATACAATTAAAATTGACCTTCGGTGAAACGTGCTTCGGCGAAATGTCCTTCTGTGAAATGTCCAAACGACGACCTTAACATTAGAGAAATTCTATAAATTTTAAAGAAGTGTAGAGAGCTTCAGAGAATTCTTAAAACTTTAAAGAAGATCCATGAACGGTAAGAAACTTGAGGAAACTTTAGTAAGGCCACAAAAAATCAGGGAAGTTTAAACATTTGATTGGAAGTATTGTGAGCATCAGGCTAGCTTCTCAAACTACAAAAGAACTTCAAGGCAATTTCATTTACTTCAGGAAGTTTTGGGGAACTTTCAAGTAGCTCTGAAGACCTCAGAATAGTTCTGTCAATATTCAACGGAGATTTCTAATAAAAATTCACTTGAAGTTTTCTGTAGCCTTCGCTTTGTATTCTCGCGATACTCGATGGATGATGGAACTATTATTAACGCGGAACGCTTCTTGGATAACTTGAATTTTTACTCAAAGCTATCTCAGGCTTTACATGAAATCTAAAATTCCTCAGAACATCCTTGAAAGCAGATTGCCCTTGATGTTTTTCTCAGTTTTTTTCCCCAGAACTCCCTTGGAATGAGGTCATTAGAAATTCTAATAAAAATCCACCGCCTTTTAAAACTCTTCAAGGAAGTTAACTCCAGAATAGAAAACTTCTCAACTGCTCGACCGAAATCCTCAAACAAGATTCATGAGTTTGTACTATTAGTACATGACGCTGGAGGTTGGTCCTTCTTTATTAATCTCCAATCGTGATTGCTTTCTAGCCTTCTATAGTGCCTCCGTACATTTTGATCTGACCATGATGCAAGAAATCTATGCAATACCAGATCACCATCGGTCGATGGTTGTTCCCTCAATTTTTGCAATCAAGTACCACCATGTAAGTAACGATAAAAGTTTTTTCACAGATGGGTCAATGCTTCCACTGGATTTGATGTATTTAATCAATTTCATAACGCCTCCTATAAACTGCAAAAACCATGCTTCGTATATGTTGCGGAACTCGCAGCCATATTTTACGCAGTAGAGCGAATTGCCTCACTATCTTCTGACCATTATTTCATTTTTACGGATAGTCTTAGCTCATTGGAGGCTATACGTTCAATGAGGCTAATGAAGCACTCCTCGTATTTCGTACCTGAAATACGATCTAAACTGAGTGCGTTATCCAACTGCTGCTATACTATCGCCTTAGATATTTTTGAGCGATAAATTGCCTTCAACGTATTTTTCTCCATTGGTCGTCAGCATGTCCTCATTAGTTGGCAACAAAAATGGAATGATAGTGATTTGGGAAGATGGTTACATTCTATTCTCCCACAGGTGTCGAACAAACCATGGTTCAAAGGGTTGGACATGAGCCGCGACTTTATACGCGTTATGTCAAGGCTTATGTCCAATCACTGTTCGTTAGACTCGCACTTCTATAGAATTGGGCTCTCAGGCAGCAATTTATGTGAGTGTGGCAGTGGTTATCACGATATCGAGCATGTTGTTTGGTCATTGTTGCGTGTTGCCAGATCTGAGTTATCCACATCCCTCAGGGCCCGAGGAAAACAACCCGCGTTAGAGATGTCTTGGCTAGCTGAGATCTCGATAATTTGAATTTAATTTATGTGTATTTTAAACAGATAGATCTGCGGATTTAGTAGCTAGGATCATATTGTGTTCTTCCAAGTTGTTAGCTGTCCATCGGTGTACCCCCATGTTTGTTTTTTTTTCTTCAGTATGTCGCTTAGTTCGAGATCAAGAGCACATTGCTCTCCAAACCTTGTGTTCTCAACCCAACAAACATTGATAGCTGAATAAGAGCTTGTTCATGCAAAATTTAGCTTCTTCAGCTATTTTTTTTAGCTTATTCAGCTTTTAATCAGTTCAAAAGATTTGTTGGGAAT